ATGAAATAGCTCCTGAAAGATGGCGTTCGGAGACTTTTGGCGGGGGTCTGTAGTTAATTAATAAAATAAAAACCTTTATTTTTCACAAAAATCACTAATCTAACCGCTTATTTGAGACTAAGTATTTTGATTGCTTGCAAAAAAATACGTATAATTGGTAATTTAAAATGAAGTTTAGTTTTTATACAAACTTGCATCTGGGGTTAAAGTGAAAATAATAGGAAAAGTCAGTCCAAAGTAAAGTTTTTATAAAAGTGCTATATTACAGAAAGAAGTGCTTAAACATATAGGTGAAAACCTAAAGAAAAAAGTTTATTAAGCTTCATAGGTTCGTTACATTGAGAGAAAAATATGTTACATTAGATGGTCATTTTTGATTATTTATCGTTATACCAATTTTTAATTAATAATCTACACGTAATATGAAATGTCCACCGACTGATAAATAATAAAGTCATAGTAAAATGTTCTATTCTAAATTTTAAACTATATCGAATGTATAGTATAAGTTTAGTAAAAGTTATATTGACTATACATTAAAGTCTCATTAGATAAATAATAAAGTCATAATAAAATGTTCTATTCTAAATCTAATTGTATATATTCTGAAGCATACATAAAATATAAATTGTTTTATAAATGCAGACTGTTATTAATGCAAAACATAAAATGTCCTATTAATTAACGTATATAAAATAATAAACATTAAATGGTTTTAAAGAAAAATAAATTTCGTATATACAAATTATTTCTAGTATCATGATTGCCTCTGATACATTATTTATCTTTACAATTATAAACGAAATATATGATATTTGTCACATTCACTAAACTAATAAAAAACACTTTTACCAATTAGTATTTATCTTCTATAATTTGTATAATGAACAGCTTAGCATTGTTCAATTTAATTTCTTAAACCAATCAACAATAACAAATATAAATCTATGATCGTTTTTTTGATGACAAAATATAGCCCTTATGATTACGAAATTGTCTCCATCTTTGATATTGATCGATACGATATCTCTGATATGTAAATGGTGTAGAACAGCATTATTCTTTTCTTTTTCATAAACCAAACTTACATATTTAAAGAAGGTTGGTATACTATCATTAAGTATTGCAGAATTATTTTCAAAATCCTTGTAGGCTAGTTTTAATTCTATTTAAAGATTCAACAATAGCGATGTTTTGACATTTATTTACTTCTTTAGCAATATATTAGAAATCCATTTGTCTGGTGAATAAACTTTTAAATCCTATTAATTAGTATTCAATAAATACTTTTTAATACTATATTATTATACTATACCTTCACTTACATCATCTTTAACATCAACTTTATCTTTTGTAATAAATCAGTCACTTATCAAACGTTACAAATGTTTCATTATGTTCATAAATCCACTATTTGATATAGATAACCTCAAATCTATGTCACCATCCAATAGATGTTATATCGTAAATAAAGTGGTGTAATGCTTTAATAAATCTAAACTCACATTCTTTAGATTTGTCTGGAATACAATACTCTTGAATATTTGATGTACTATTTCTTTTATTCCAACACTTGTATTCAATAATATCGTATAATTCTTTGCATATAATAGTAGGTAAAAGTTGGTATGCAGATTCAGCAAGTTTTGAACTCTTTGAATGCCTGTTGGTAAATAAAATTAGGATTAGCTATGCGATATTATAATAAATGTAAACAAATATATAAAATTAATAAATAAATCGATATGATATTTTTTTGAGTATATGATTTAGTTTCTTTGTTTTTCATGTTCTATCTGTAATATATAATATAAAATAATTATAATTATAATTTAAATAATAATACTTTTGATAAAAGCATTCTTTCATTATATAAACAATCACACAATTCACTATATTCTTCATTTGTAAAGGAATCTTTAAATACCATTGTCATTGTTTTTATCATTACTATCCAGTATTTCAATTAATGTTTTATAGTATGATCACTTCAGGTAACTCCTATTCAATGTTAAAATAAAACAAGTTCTGGATTTTTAAAGTGGATATATTTCAAGAACCTATTAAGAATAAATGAGAACATTATGGTTAATTGTAGACAATCCAATATCATAAAACTTTCAATGTGAGATATCAGATTTGGTAATTTTCGCTAAGTCTTCAGGTATTCAAAAGACTTCCAAACTTTTATAAATTCAGTTTTTCCTTCTGGTGAAAGTGCTTCAATTGTAATCTTGAGAAATCTTAGTACTTTTTCAGCTGTAAGGTGATAAACGTCTTGTGAAAACTGTAAATATTTCTCCTTTTTCAATTGGTTGAGGATTAGTAGATGTAATTTTAGCTCATATTCAGTCGCAATAGCTTTATGTCTTGTAATTGTTAGTGTTTCTGATATTTTTTTAAATTGCACATTCGACTGATGATAATAACGAGAGAATAATTATACATCAAAACTCTCAGATGTTAAAGAGTCTTTAGTTACGTTGCAAGTCTGACACCCTCTATTAGCACTATATCACTTTACCCTAACCATATTATTACCTTGTGACAAATCTGCAGTAATTTTACCAAGGCTCGTAATAATAATACATTCATTTTCTTGTATATTCATAATCCTTCCTTTTTCTAATGCTTTCATTTCTTTGATAAATAGTTTGATAAATTTATTGAAAAAACTACTAAAAGGAACAAATCCTAATATGAAATAGTTCTTAAGATGGACTCTTTCACTAAGTGGTATATTTCCTATTTGAATGTAAATGCCGTCTAACAAATGATAGACATTACGAAATATCCTAAAGTCATCATAGTACATATTGATAAATAACTTGTATATTAGAAGATGTGTTTTTGGTTCTTTTAATGCTACAAACTCTGAAGGATATTAGTATGAATAGTTGACATCTCTTAACTTTCAGTAACCGTTATTTTTATAGAGAATTTCCCTAATTTTAATAGAATTAGGATTATTTACAATGTTATCATAAAGAATATCAATTGATACGTATTTATTGATTACTTGTAATTCGACATTCAAGGTTGCATTATCTATTTTTCAATCTAAGAACTAAACTTCATATTGCGATCTTTATCTTCGACTATTACTGCGTTGAATCTTAATCTTTAGCTAGTTGTCATATTATATAATCGCTAATATATGACCAAATCTTTTCGTTTCCCTTGATTCTCTATATATTACAAAATCTCCAATATAATAAATATCTTAGACAATTTTAATAGATGCTTGTCTGAATCTTGCTGACTCTTTCCAGATATTTCCATGCCAAAGTTCTTTACTTTTTATGACTTCTTGTCCTAGTTCAAAGTACATTTTGCTAAACAATAAAGGATTATTTAAAACATAATAAATAATATTTGTAATAGACAAATAATATGATTTTTTAATATTTTTAGACATTAACAGCGTTTTTTTTGCTAGATATATTAATTTTGCAAGATTTTATCAGAAGTAAAGGTAAGTTCTGTCTATACTTTCTAAATCGTTAGCTATTTAATACAACATCTTTACTCCTGAACTGTAGATGACAGATAATATCCACTAGTTCATCATATACTTAGGTAGCTAGTAAATAATCACTATTAGTTACTGTTAGTTTGTTATTATTTATAAGTTTTAAAAGGATATAACTTACATATACGATATTTTTGCATCTAAAAAAAGAGAGATTCTGTGATATTCTTGAAATAAGAGGCAAATTCACTAAAAAAATGTGACATTTGTTCACTATTAAGAGGTTGATCAATAATTACTTCTTTATCTGAGTAATCTTTATTTGTTTCTTGTTTATCATCTTCATCCCTGTCACTTTCGTTTAAATCTATCATCATTCTTTTATATTCACTTTCGATTTCTATATCATCTTCGCTTGCTTCATTTTTGTCATCACTTGCTTCATTTTTATCATCGCTTGCTTTATTTTCATTATCGCTTACTTCATTTTTATCATCGCTTACTTCATTTTCGTCATCGCTTACTTCATTTTCATTGTCTTTCAATTCTTCATTTTCTATATTGATATCTGGTACCATTTCTTCATTGTCATAAATATCCATGATATAATTAGTTTTAATAGCAATTGTATTTTCTAGAAGAATATAAAAGGTTATTAGAAAAGATATATGTATTATGATATGACAATGATCAATATTTACCGTTTGTTCTATTCTTTTTTTTTCTTTCATTCAATAACGAAGATATGTTAAACAAGTTGTATTATTGTCTAATGTAACTATGTTAACTATTGTTAGAAACATATCTATCTCGAAACATTTTCTCGAGGAAAAAAAATAAAGAAATGTCACGTAATTTCTGAAAAAAAAAGTATAAAGTAACTTATATAGTTTAGTCAAAAGTAATGTATTATTAAAATCATACTAAATAAATCTAATTGTTAAAAATATCAATTCTTATTATTGTCGATCAGTTACTCAGAAATAGAAGAAGATTGATAAATTATCAAAAAAAAAATATTAAATATATCAAATTTACATAAATATAACATTATATTGTAAATTTAAAAAAGATTTTTTTTTTTAAAAAAATATAAAGAACTTGTTGTATAGGTTAATTGAAGATTAAAATCCTTTTAGTTTCTTTCTTTTAATGTATTGTACGTCTGATTGTTGTTGATAGTTTAATCAAAGGCTGAAGAAGATCAATAAATTATTTTAAAAAAATGTTAAATATATTAAATGCATATCAATTTTACATAAATATAACATCATATTGGAAATTTAGATAACTAATAATTTTTTTTACTATATAATTTGATTTGCTTTATATTATACCATAATAATATAATAATAGTCTAGTATATAGTCCAATTTACATAATAATAATATACTTTGCCATAACAATGCAATAAAATAAAGTTTATTTTATTTAAAGAAAAAACATTTTTTTTATTTTTGTAAACTCTTTATTTCTCTTTATTCATTACAATTTTTTAATTTTACAACTTTTTAAAGTTATCGCTATTATGTCTCCCAAAAGAAGTATTATCAGAAGCCAAAAAATGAAACAAAATGTTATCCCTGTTGACAAAGTTGAAGTTGGTGGTAATAACTCTATGTTTTTAACTATTATTATAACAAATATATATATATATATCAGATGATTATAAATTTAGTTCCAAAAGAAAATCAAGAACAAGCAGCGAATCTAACCAAAAAAATTGTTAAAAAACGAGGTTGAAAAAAAGAGACTGTTGTTGAAGATGACAAACCCATAAATGATGAAGATTAACAAAATATAGCATTAGCTCTAAAGACTAATGCTAAACGTAAAGCTGTGGTAGCTCCAATGATCATCTCTAAATATAATTAAAAGAAATATGCAAATAATGACATAATTCAATGACTAAGTGTTGATACTTTAATTAATAAACTTCTAGAAATAAGCGACGATGATGATGACCTTTCAGAGAGTAACTAAATCATCTTTTAATAATATTATTTAAATATTATTAATATCTTTTCTCACTTCTTTACCACCTAAGATGGAAGTCAGATTAAAATGAAAATGATATGAATACTAGACGCAAACCTCTTGCACTGATTGTAAATAATAGAATTCACAACACGTTGGATGAGACGACTGAATCTTTTATGAACCTTCATCATAACACATTGGATAGATTAGATAGTTCAAATGAAGCATCCAATTCTTATTCTCATTTACATTTAAATACCTATTATTATCCTTCTAACAATTATATCAATAAAACATCTTCCTCTACATCTAATATTATACACAATAATTATATGAGGTTCAATGATGATGCTGATGTTTTTCAATCAAACACACTAAACATGATTCATTTAAATACATTTATTCTTACTAATGATAATGATGTTCATTCGACGTTTTGAACATTATATAATACAGAATCAACACTACTAACACCTTTTCGCAAAATGGATAATATTTACCAAATCTGTTCATGGCTATGTGTAAACCCCAATATTTTATTACTTGCTTATAATATGCATCTATCAATGTAAATACCAGTTGCAAACACTCTCAACTTTATTTCGTCAAATTTCAATTCATCAATGATAGCAACTAGTATATTACAAATTTCAAAGCAAGAAGATAAAGTGAAAAGTCAAGATTTTTTAGAGGAATTAAAATGTCTTTTCCTATGAGTATGAAATCCTATAAAAGGAGTTTTTGAAGATTTGGTATAGAAAATCTTTAATTGTGACCTTAATTTGACTAAAGGAACTGAATAGTTACAAGCAGCCAAGAGAAATTTTAATGATTTCTGTAACAAATTCCTGGCTGCTGTTGAACAAGCAATTGATAGCTTCAAAGAAAAAAGATCACGGTAAGTGTTTATTTTGTTTTAATTTCATTATTTCCAGTATAATGATTATTTCACTAATTTATTTTTTTTATTTACAGATAAAAAACTCACCATTTGGAGGAAAGTGAGGTGATTTTATTTCTCAATGAAACTTTAATATTAGACATATTATAAAGATGGTTAAACATAATAAACATGATCAAATTAAAAGTTCAAAACTCTTGGAATGTTTTCAAAAATTCATTCAAAAAGCATTTATTGTTAATTATGAATGTAGAGATATTGAAGCAACGAAATTCTTAGATACAATAACAAAAAATATAGCAGTTCTATTTTAAAACGATAAAAATATTACAAGCAATTTACAATTGTAAAGCAGATAATATATTTATTGATTATATCTATAAAATCTTTAACTTTAACCTTTAACAACAAATTTTATTTTTATTGCATTTTTATTATAATGATACATTGCAAAAATATAACAGTATTGTTAACTATAATAACATTTATAACTCTATATAAATTTATAGAATATATACAAAGTAGCATTTAAGACATCTGCGGTTTCTTAACATTCAACTCTATTATTCTCTCAAAAAACGCTAATGTAATATTATTTTATTACAATAATGTATTACAAAAATTGAAAATACCACAATGATTTTTATTATATGATAGTCTTTTTATATCAAAGCGTTTTTATTATATTTTATTACAATGAATTTATCGACAATAATAATATTATTATTTGTAATTTTATATTACAATTTATAATTATCAATTGTAATAATAATGATTTTTTATATTATAATGAAAAAATTTTAACAAAAAAAAAAAATAAATCAAAATCAAGGAATCAGTAAATTAATTGTCAAATAATATCTAATACATCGAAAAAATGACTTGAATTGGTAATTTTAACTAATTTTCAATAATATTCAAGTAAAATCCACCATCTACTTTAATAGTATATTACAACTTCAGAAAGATATTTTTTCAATAAATCCAAGATCATGTCATAAGTTCATGAATATAAAAAAGCTTTAAATTCTTCTAAAATAATATTAAATAGAAGATCTTTTTAACAAACTTATTCAATTGGAACCTATTATTATATCTAAATAGAATAAGCCTTATAATAAACTAGATAATTCTCAAATAGGATTTTATAAACAGCCTAATATCTGAATCTTAACAATCTAGAATTCTGATTCTAAAGTTCTGATATATTTAAAATTTCAATAATCTATAATTCTAATAGTTTTTAATTCTGAATAAATATAATTCTAATTATTTAAAATCTTAAATTATATTTTTAAAAAAATAGTAGTGTAGTATTGATATATTTTAAATGTGAAAATTACTAAACTGATTTGATTTAATATTAGAATTAAATCAGTATTAAAATCAAAATCAAAATTAGGATTAAAATTAGATTATATTTTTTATTATGTTGAAGTAGAGTAAAATAAAATTAAAATTAGATTTCAAGCTTTTAACAGTTAAGATTATATCTATTTAGAATTTAGAATATTAGAATTATAAACTATTAATAAATCAGAAATTAAAGTCAGAATTCTAAATTATTAGAATTCTTAATATCAGAATATTATTATAAATCTTTTTTAAATTAAGATTTAAAAATTGTAACGATAATTTTAATATTACAAGAATTTAAAGAATAAACTTAAAATATTAATAAATATGTATTTCATCAAAGAACTTTTAGATTTATAAAAAGATATAGATTACAAAGATATAAAATTAGTTTTAAGTTTATATCAGTATAAAATATTAAATAAAATATTCATTTTATTTTTAGAAATTAAAGTTATCTAATTAAATAGTATTAAAATATAACTATTATACAAATGAAACGCTTTATAAAAATTAAAATTTAAAATTTGATTTTGAGGATAAAATTATTTTTTATTATTACATTTAAAATTTAAGTAAGAGAAGGATTATTAGTAAAGTAATAAACCTATAAAAATGAAATCATGTGAATTATATAATATAATGATCTCATAATACAAAATTCTAAAAATATTATAAATACTGAAAATATAAAAGATCTGAAAATTTCTACTAATCTTTAAATTCTGATAATAACTCTAATTCTATAAATTAAACACAGTTTAAGAATATTTAATATAATACTTATATTTAATATTCTATTTTTTATTATTTTTATTATTTTATTATATATTATTATATTTTTAGTTTATTTATATTTTATTTATTAAATTAGTTAATTTAAAATAAATCTATTAGTTAACTATAATAAAGAAATTTTGTATAAATATATAGATTTTTTTTTTTTATAAATTAACTCTTTTACAAATATAAATTTCAATATTATAATAAAGAAATTAATAAAACATATAACTTTCTATCTTTTCATATCTTCATAAAGTCTAATATAATTCCTATATAGAATTTGTAATTGAGTTTATTATCTAAATTCTCTAATTAAAATTATTTATAATTTTGTCTTTTAAGTTTTTATACTTAATAGATTTATTAATTTAGTACATAAATTTGATAAAATTAAGAATTAGACAGATCTTAATATCTTAATTATATAATAGTAATCTCAAATAAAAATTAAGAATATAGTTAATTTAAATAAAGAATTCTATAATAATACTATAACTATAGTAATTAATGAGAAGCATTTATCATATACTAGATAAAATTTATATTTAATTATAAGTAGAAAATCAAAATCTGAATTAAAGAATTCTATAATAATACTATAATAATAGTAATTAATAGAAAGCATTTATTACATATTAGATAAAATTTATATTTAATCTTAATTATTTTAATATGAAATTTTCATAGAAACTTACAGTCTAATTTATAAATTATTAAAAATTTATAAAAATCTATTTATCTTAGTATTTAGCAAATAACTTGAAATGATAAATGATTTAAATAATAAATGACAAATAACATATTATTATTTTATTATTCAAATTACAAATGACCTGATTTATTTAAATGTAATATTGATCAATACTATAATTCTGACCTGCTTCATTTTTTTTTACTTTTTAATTGAAATTATATGATAAGATATCAACCAATCAAAATTAAATAACTGAAATGATTAAATGATAAAAGATTAGAAATAATGACAAATAATTAGGCAAATCATTTAAATGGTCAAATAACCAGATTATTTCTGAACACTGATTTATTCAGATAAATAAGATAATTATTAGTAATCTTTAAAGTATATTATTATCTTTCTTATTTATAATTTTTAGCTAAATATATAATATATTTTTTATTTATTTAAATAATAATTTTCATTTCTTATTTTCAAAGTTTTTAACAAAATAGTTTTTACATTTATTATTATTTTCTTTATCTTTGCTTTTATATTTCTAATTATTTTAATAATTTGATTGAGATTTATTTTATTTTATATTAAAATAATCTAAAATACAATCAAAATAAATTAAAAATTCATAAATATTTTTACTTTTATTAAATAAAAAGTTTAAATTAATATTATTTTATTATTACTTTATTAAAATATATATTTTTTCACATTATAAACTAAAATTTTATTTATTATATTATATAATAAATTAAATTTTTTAAAAATATTATTAAACTAAAAATTTATAAACTGATAAAATTAATAGTTAACTAATATTTTTTATTTATTATAATTATAAAAATAAATCATTTATTTTATAATACAAACAGATTATTTGACAATCAATATTATATAAAATAAAATACAAACTAAATAAACATATGTGATATTATATTAGCAATATAAAATTTTATTAAGTAGTTAATATATAATATAAAATGATATTATATTTAATATGCTTAATATTTGATTGTCTTCTGCTATATTTCAGATAATTAAATAAAATTTTTAATCTTGTAATAAATAATTATTTTAAAATAATATTATAAATAAAAATTTGTTAAAAAAATTTATTAATTTAAAAAATATTTATAAATTTATATTATTCACAAATATTTTTAA